GCCGGTAATTAGTCAGTGCAAACCCTTGATAAGTTCGTGAGCATCCTAAGGTGTGGTGTGAAATCTGTTAGAGACAACTAGATAGAAATTCTAGGGTTAGTCAGGAGATACCTATAGATGGTTATGAATAAAAGAGTTAAATGGGCAACCTCCTAGGTAGGTTACAGGTACAGCAGCTAGTGTAGAACCTATTGGCAAACTACTTAAATAGGTACTCAAAAGGTGCATATGTAGCTAGTTGTAACTTCGTTGTAACTATATAAGTATTTGACAACTAATAAAAAGCACTTCATGACCAAAGAGATCATCTTAACACCAAAAAAAAAAAAAAAAAAAAGAAATTAAATTAGTGCTATGTAAAAAATAATGCTGTTTTATATATTTTACTAACCTTCTTTGTACTTTGATCATTTGTGAGAAAGATAAAATTTGTAATAAGCTTTTATTGCTACTTTCTAAAGGGTAACCTAAAAGTAATTGTATTTTTCCTTTATTTTTATCCAAAAAAAAAGATGAAGGAAATGGTAAATTAATATTCTCTGAAGAAAGAAGCGAGATTAATTGTAAATTTTTTTTGGTTGATAAAGAAGGCGATAAATTTTCTTTATTATTCCCTGAAAAGAATAAAAGTATATTTTTATTTTGGGAAGATGATGTTTTATTTATAGATAACAATGATTCATTATTTTCATTTGTATATTCATTATTATCCTAATAAACAAAAGACAATATAAAATTTATTAATGAAATGCTTATTAAGTAAATATTTCTAGTATAAAAGCTAAGTCATAATAAGGAATAAACATAAATAATTTTTTCTTTAGAATTAGTAGACCTTATAAAGCTAAGTTCTTCTCATAATAAGAAATAAACACAACCAATTCTTCCTTCAAAATTGGTAGGCCTTATTCAAAGAACTTTATTAAACTATTAATTCTTTATAGCACTATACACAAACCATTTTGCCAATAGTAAGCCAAACAGAATTTATTTTTATGAAATATATAACACACCTCTTTACTATACCAAAAAGATTCTACAAAAGTGCTCTCATAAAAGCAACCCAAAGGAAAAGGTGGGGCTTACTATTACTAGAATATATTTACTTGATATTTTCTCTTGAAAAGTTTTTTAGTAGTAATATATTTTATAAGAATATAGTGATAAAATATAAGTTGGTAATAAAAGATTGCAATAAAAGATTAAGCTAATAAAAGGTTGGTAAAAGATTGAGTTGGTAAATTTAGTACAACAAAAAATACCATTCTTACATGTTTGTATTATATGTAATAATGCAGATAGCTATAATATAGAGATTATACTATGAGATTATATTAGCATATATTTATTTACTCAGAAAGATGTTGGTTAAATATCTTAAATATCTACATTATCTGAAGATCTATGCATGCTTAGCCAATAATTATTAACCTCAGATTTGTATTTATCTTCTCCAGAAAACAAGATAAGTAAAATCATTTTCTAGCTTTAAATAACTGTTAATATACTATATAAAGAATCCAAAAGAATTTTGCTTAAGTTGGTTGAGTTGAATTTAACCCAAACTAAAAGATTATTAAAAAAAAAAGATATTGAATATAAGTTGTAAGTTTAAAAGATTGTAATTTGTTTATATATTTGATAATCAATTCATAATAATTATATAATTACAATAATTAAAATTTTAATTTTTGTAATTTGATAGAATACTACACTTTCTGATATATTTATAAAACTAAAAAACAGATACTGTTAGATGTCCAAAGCCAAAAATTTTATTTTTTTATTGTAAATTAAAAAAAAAAGCCTAATAGTAATAGTAATACTAAAAATTATTTATTAAAATAGTATTTTATAATAGGAATTAATACAATTTGAGGGGTGTGGTGGCCTAGTGAAGTGGTCTAGTCATCACCCCACCAAGTGGCAGGTCTAGAGTTCAAATCCCACGGACGATGTTTTTCGAAAAATAGATTTGCATTAGGTAACAATTATCTATCGATCAGTTGAATCCAGAAATCTGTAATCTTGGTTGCACTATCTAGAATGGGAGCTTCAGCATAGAAATGCCAAGAAACCGGGATGATCGAAACCCGTTTGGGAAAACCCGAGTAAGGAATAACTACAATCTGTGACAGTGCCACAGGAAAGACCTGAATTTGGAAGTTAGG